TCGGCTGTCGGGCTGACAGTCTCCCCCGTCCGGAGGAGAGGGTGGATGGGCCCAGGGGAACCACATGGTGATCCGTGAATGGAGGGGAAGAAGTTGCCTGACTGCTGCCCGCCACTCGGATCCAATAAATCAAGGGCTTGATCCACAGAGTAAGACTCCTGGACTAGCCAATCATCCTCAGCCGCAGCCGCGAGGAGGCGTCCGCTCTCTGCTGTCTGTGGGCCAGAGGGAGACGGACACAATGAGTGCACGACACCTGGGGAGTGAGAGCCGCGTTTGCGTGCTCCCATCCCCGGCAGTACTTACCTGTATCGTCTGTGTAAAGCCGCTTCCTTTCTCCCTGGAGCGAGCCAGCCACAGCCGGTCGTAACTCATATGTCGGGCTGACACCGAGCCCCCGCCCAGTCTCCCCCGTCCGGAGGAGAGGGAGGATGGGGCCGGGGGAACCCCATGGTGATCCGTGAATGGAGGGGAAGGAGTCGCCTGACTGCTGCCCGCCACTCGGATCCCATAAATCAAGGTTTTGGTCCACGGAGTAAGACTCCTGGACTAGCTAATCATCCTCGGCCGCAGCAGCGAGAGCGTCCTCTCTCCGCTGTCTGTGGGCCAGAGGGCCAGTGCTTCTGCAACGGAGTGCTGAAGAAAAATGGGAGCAGATGGTCGGGCCTACTTCCTATTTATACGGAAGTGAGGCCGTAGGTGGGGCCCACGTCATAGGTGGGCGTGGATTAAGTCTGTCAGTGCTGCACACGTGCAGTGGGATTACCCAAAAGCGATAGCCTTAGAGGGCCTTATACGAAATAGAACCTGCAGAGCTCTGCTGCTGCTGTTAACCACTTCTTCAAAGAAACGCTTCTTCAGTTCTCAGAAAAAGTAAAAATAAATCTGCAGAGATACAAAGAGGAACCAGCATGTTGTTAACATGCATTAAAACTAGCCATCTTTACATGCTCAACTTCCTCTGTTGTGTTGCTGATGAAGAAGGCCTACAGTTACCTTCACTCTGAATAACCAAAGACAAGAAATACATCAAACATAAACATCTGATGTTACAGTTTTTCACTATTTTTATAACAACCAAAGACTAATGAGATTTAAAAGCTAATCTCACACATGAACTCCACAGCCATCAGAGGAGAGATGGATGAGGAAGTGACTTCTCATTTATCACAGGATATAGCGACAGCAGGAAACAAACAAAGTCGCTGAGAGGCTGAGGCCGGGCCGGTTTGATATTGTTTGACATGCTAAAAAAAGAGTACTTGCTGAGATCAAAACTCTGTTGAATTGTAATGTAGTTTAATGAAGAAAGCGCAGTGATCAGACATAGACATTGTAATAATAATAATCAAAGCAATCATAAATCTTGCGGTCAACAAAAAGTACAACGGCCCTGTGTCACCCTCTCTTCCACACACCGTGCATATCCATGTGACCCAAACCAACCAATCAATAGTGATCAGATATCTTATATTAAAACAAAACACATTACTATACACGTTTCATGGCTCCTACACAGGAAGCAGATGGTGAGTTCTTGTTAAAGAAGCAGCAGGTTAGAGACTCTGACAGTCGACATCACATGTTGCTTGTTAGACGCTTTTATCAAAAGCGACTTACATACTCAATACTGTGGGCAATCCCCACAGGAGCAATTTGGGGTGAAGTGTCTCAGGGACACAACGACATGCTGACTGCAGTGGGGTTTGAACCTGTGCTCCCCTGATCCGAACACCAACGCTCTATCCACTGCGCCACACGCCTCGAGAGCCAGAGACCGAGAGAGAAGCACGATGTCTGAATTCAGAAGGATCATGATGTCTTCATTCCTGATGCTGCTGCTCCACTTTCCAGGTGAGGATGCAGAGAACACACGTTAAATAAAACAGCTTTAATATCACTAATGGTGCTTTACTACGTACTGTTCCTTTAACTGAGAGTGATGAGTTGTGTTTGTAACGTGGTGACTTTAGTGAACTCTTGGAAACCAAACTCTCACAGAGATACATTTTCAAACTTCTGTATCTGCTGTATAATGATCATCGTGCTGATTATATACACTACAGTTGTTTTCATATTTCTTTCCGTCTTTGTTTTTTTAACAGCTGCAGATGTGAAAGATCACTTCCGTATTGTCAAAGCTGGAGATGAAGTCACTTTGCCTTTTGAAAATGTGATACATGATCAGGATGAGTGTGAGAGTGCTACCTGGACCTTCAGTGATTTAAGCAGCTCAGTGACGCTGTTTGAAGACGGGCAGATTCACAAAGAAGCCAAAGCTAAATCAGCAAGACTGTTCTCTGGCAGAGATGGGGTCGTTACTAAAAAAAAGTAATATATTACATATTACATATTACTTTAAAAAAAAGTAATATATTACACTACTTCGTTACTCTCTACATAAAGTAACTCGTTACTTTACTCGTTACTTTACTCGTTACTTTACTCTCAGGGCCGGCCCGCCCCTCCCTACAGGCAGATCACGCAGACTGCTAAAGTTTCAAATGTTCTCTTTAGTTCAGTTTCCATTGTCGCATAAGACTGATTCAGATAGCTCTGACAATGGCTGTCCTCTGTCTCCTGCTATCTGTATTTTGCGCAGTATATCTCTGAACGATGCGATGGTGATTCCACTGTGCAAATGGGCAACATTACCTCTACTATGAAGGATGCTACAAGCCTGTCCATCTCTGCTTTGGTTACCGGTCCTCCAAATTGTTGCGGCGGTGCACTCACAACATCCTCACTCTGGGTTCGGGGGTCCTTAGCTATTAGCTTCACCTTAGCATGTGTTCTTTGCAGGTGTTTGTTGAGTTTTGACGTGGTGTTTACAGCAGTGGATAACAGCTTCTGGCCTGGACACAGTTTGCACCTCACCGTCACATTCCTGTCTATTCTTCGGACGAACTCAAAATAATGGGCATACTTCCACCCCTCGAAAGTTATCGCTGACTCAGCCATGTTTATGCAGCACTGCACGCTGAGATGTGGACGTGCAAGTCGCGCAGATTACGTACATATAAACCTGCGGCGGAAACCCCTCTTGTCTGTCAGTGTGATTATGACTGATTTTATAAAAGTAACGAAGTAACGCGTGTCGGGGCAATGTTAGTAACTGTAGTGTGATTACTGAATTATAAAAGTAACGCGTTACACTACTCCGTTACCGACAAAAGTAATATTATTACAGTAACGCGTTACTTTGTAACGCGTTACACCCAACGTTACTTTGTAACGCGTTACACCCAACTCTGTTCTCTGGTTATAAAGAAGGTCACAGAAGATGATGCTGGTCTCGAATAGAAAAATTAGCAGGACTCGACTTGGACTTAAAGATGTGTCTAGAAGCTGATGAAGTGTTCTCTCTTCTCCATTATCTCTCTACGAGTTAACCTCCTCCGCTCAGTGTCAGACGGTCTGAGGTGTCAGAGAGATTATTTTTTAACCCCAGCAGAACATGCAGGTTTTATTTCAGACTCTGTGTCTAAACATTTACAAACCCTCCATGTTCAGTGCGAGCAGGATGTATCTAATGTCTGGTTTGTTAAGTTATTCTTTAACTCAGTGACTTGAAAGTGACCCTGGAATCTGACATTCACAATGGAAATCAACTTGGACATGACCAAAGTGACTCAGACTTCACCTTTCTGACTTCCTTGTGACCTCAAGGGCCGAACAAGAGCATGAATTGGATAGAAAACGTTATAGGACTCAGACTTAAAGACTTGTCTACAAGCTGAGGAAGTTTCCTTTCTTCCCCATTATCTCTGCGAGGATCTCTTTAAGAAAACCTCCTCCGCTCAGTGTCAGACGGTCTGAGGTGTCAGAGAGTTTCTTTTTTAACCCCGGCAGAACATGCAGGTTTTATTTCAGACACTGTTGGTCTGATTTGTTTCTTTAACTCAGTGATTTGTATCGGACCCTGTCATCTGACATTGACAATGGAAATCAACTCTGGCATGACCAAAGTGACTCAGACTTTACCTGGCACGAGCAGTTCAGAGCTTAGCACGTGACAGGAGAAACAGACAGTCAGTGTAGTGTAGGGCCTGGATGACCTTGGGAAGAAGACTGGACCTGGGCGAAGCCAAGAGGCGTGGGCTCGCCTGTACTCCAATCAACAATCGACAGCACCTCACTCAGAAATACACATATCCAATCATAATGGGGCGGTGGTGGCGAAGTCGATAGGGACTTGGCTTGGCAACTGGAAGGTCACCAGTTCGAGTCCTGGCAAGACCAAGTGCTACCGAGGTGTCCCTGAGCATGGCACCGTTCCCTACACTGCTCCCTGGGCGCCGGACACGGCAGCACACTAGGATGGGTCAAATGCAGAGGAACAGTTTCTTTACATAGCACCTGTACTGTGAAATGACAAAAAGATCAATTTATTTATTATTTATTATAATATGACACTTTCTGTATTAAGTATATGAAATGTGTTTTGCCAGTTTCCGGTGCTCTGGAAGGAAATGTTAGACAGTTAACTGCTTGGAGTGAAAACTGCTCGCGGCCTGTGGAACACTGATCTCCAGAAACCTCAGCTGAGCATTTGTATTCCTTATCACAACTGAAATAAATCCGTTTTATTATAACCGTATTGCCTGGTCCGACTCCTTGCTTCACAGAGGAATTCTGAACATGACAAAACGCTTCTTCAATTCTCGGAAAAAGTAAAAATAAATCTGCAAAGATACAAAGAGGAACCACCATGTTGTAAACATGCATGACAACTAGCCATCTTTACATGCTCAACTTCCTCTGTTGTGTTGCTGATGAAGAAGGCCTACAGTTACCTTCACCCAAACACAATCAATGCATCAAACATAAAAATCTGATGTTAAAAAAGTTTCTTTTTATTACACAAGAAAAACAAGAGAGATTTAAAAGCTAATATCACACATTAACCCAACGGTCATCAGAGGAGAGATGGATGAGGAAGTGACTCTTCATTATAACAGGAAGCAGGTACTGAGTTCTTGTTAAAGAAGCAGCCGGTGAGAGACTCTGACAGTCGAGAGCCAGAGACCGAGAGAGAAGCACGATGTCTGAATTCAGAAGGATCATGATGTCTTCATTCCTGATGCTGCTGCTCCACTTTTCAGGTGAGGATGCAGAGAACACACACTGTTTACGACTGTTAATGAAAGCTAGTGAGGGCGTCTTTCAATTGAAATCGATGTATCCTTGGGCAAGATGCTTAACCCCAAGTCGCTCCCAATGGGGAACGGTGTGTGAATGATACCTTCTGTCGTGGAGTTTGAATCAGTTTCTACATTTAATATCCACTTTCCTCTATCGGGGTTGTGGGTTATGACGCGCCTCACTTTGCTTCCAAACTAACTTTGCAGAGATCGTTGTAGTGTTGAATCACATCAGGTTTATTCTTTGATCAAGACGACATACAAACATGAAGACAAACTTCCTCGCTTCAAAGTAACTAAAAGTTCTCCGTATCAAAAAAGAACAAAAAGAACAGAAAGAACACGGTCAAAAGACTCTACCGCTTCCTGTCTAATCACACCCTCAGCTGTGAACCAATGTCATGCCATATATAGACATATAGACATGCACGTCATATCCGACAGCAAATAAGTGAGACTTAAACTAACATCTTTTAAAGCGTAGTGTGACTCACAAAAATAAATAGTTAAGAGTTTCCTCTAAAGCCTTTTAGTAATAAGACAAACATTCAAACCATAATGATGAAAGGGAAATGGCTCTAACCCCTTCATTGAGCAAGGCGCACATTGCTCTGTATGCATTGGGTGTGAATGGTTGACTTGTTGTATGTAAAGCGCTTTAAGGGGGTGAAAGACTGGATGAAGCGCTTTATAAATACAGTCCATTTACCATTTACCAATTACATGAAATAAAACAGCTTTAATATCACTAACGGTACTTTACTACGTACTGTTCCTTTAACTGAGAATGATGAGTTGTGTTTGTAACGTGGTGACTTTAGTGAACTCTTGGTCACTAAAACCCACATAGCAATACTCTTTAAAGTGATCGTCACACTCACTATGAACACTTCAGTTAGTTATGTGGATCTGTAATTAACTCTGGTTTGAATGTGTCGTTAAATGATTCATTAAACAGATCAACCAGAACTCTAACTCTTTACCTTTTTATATAATAAATCATTATTCTGTCAGCATTTATGACGTCTATATTTATTTCTGATTTTTTTCCCCAACAGCTGCAGCTGTGAAACAATACTACCTCATTGTCAGAGCTGGAGATGAAGTCACTTTGCCTTTTGACAATGTGATAGATGATCAGGATAAGTGTGAGAGTACTGAGTGGAGCTTCATTGGTTCAAGAACAGGAGTGATTCTGTTTAAAGACGGGCAGATTCACAAAGAAGCCAAAGCTAAATCAGACAGACTGAGAGTTACACAGAATTGTTCTCTGGTTATAAAGAAGGTCACAGAGGAGGATGCTGGAGGTTACTTCTGCAGACAGTTCAGATCAGGAGAACGACAAGATCCAGTCTCTTGGGTTTTTCTGTATGTTGTTACCAGTGAGTATTTACATCATGATGTTTCAAACTGTCTCTATAGAGCAATATACTAAATCATTACAATAATTATGATTACAGTGATGAAGTTAATGTTACTCTTGTTGTCCTTCTCTCACAATATCTCCATCTTCAGTGACTGGACATCAGGACAATGATGAGGTGACACTAAACTGCTCTGTGACGAGATATGGAGGGTGTGCACAGACAGCAAAGTGGCTGCTTCAGGGTCGAGATGTGGATAAAGATCACAGAGATATAAAGACATCACAGTCTCTCTGCTCTGCCTCTGTGACATTTCTGACTTCTCTCTTTAATTACACATCAAGGTCTGAGTTGTTTACTTGTGAAGTAACTGATGGTGACGACGTGAGGACCTTCAGTCCTCAGTCCTCAGGTGAGACCATGATGATCTGTTTAAAATCACTTCTTACTGGTGTAAAAAAAATACTTCAATTTGTTTATTTTATGGACGTTTAAAATTGAATAGTTTGTTAAGTTTTGTTCTTCTGTTTAGGTGAGGACAGAAAACCAGCAACAACTAAAAACAACTTAAACTCAGGTAAGGTTAACTTGATTGACTTGTAAAGTGTTTGATGGTCACAGAACCTCAGCTGTTTCTCTTCAGTCCTCAGGTGAGAACATGATGAGCTGTTTAAAATCATTCATCCTGATGCGTCACATCTTTATGTCGTGATGTGAGATGATTACATTTGTTTTTATAACTGTACAGCTTGTTGTTATTTCATTCATTAAGGTGAGGATGCAGAAAAAACGAACTGTGTGGATTATAAATAAGTTGTGTTTGTATCTGTATGTTCTGTACGTGTCCCTGTGTGAAGGTGACGAGGAAGCATCAAACAGCCAAGAGACATTTTGTTCATTCACATTTTAGAGACTGTATTTAAGTCTTCTAACTTCTCTCTCCAGGTCGCTTGAGGCTCATCATGGTGTCTGTGGGTTTAGCGGCTCTCATCATCACCATGGTTACAGTCAACATATGGACAAGAGCTAAAGGTGAGATCATTCACAGGTCAAATGAAAACAATACAAATAAAGGTGAAATCTAATATCAACTTGTTGTGTCCTTTTTTCAGGGAGCAAAGCACAGACGGAAGAAAACATGGTGAGTTTGAACATTGAATAATTAAATGTGTGTATTATTTGCTATCCAATGGTAACAGTGGATATATGACAGGCATGAGAAGATGCAACACAAGATTAATTTAGAATAATTATGTATCCAAATTAAATGATCTCAGAAAAGCAAAACAGTTCATTTAGCAAAATAACAAAAAACAGCAACAGAATGTAATAAATGTTCATTAAGGATGCTTCAAAGTGACCGGGGCCCGTTCTCATTTCATCAAATGTACCTCCTCGACTCCTCGACTCCTCGCTCCTCCGGTAGTGACCCGGAAATGAATTTTAGCGCGCCATGTTGAAGGACATCTCATTTCTCGAAATGCACATCGAGGACCGAGCATCGAGCGTCGAGGAGGCTCTCTGGAGGAGCTATAACCGAGGATACACTGATGGGTCCTCCACGGTCCTCCACGGCTCCTTCGTGGATGCATTTCCGGGAACAGTGATGTTTCAAAGAGTCGAGACGCACGGCCGGACTGATCTCAGCCAATGACAGCTCTGCATGCATCCCCTGGATATAGAGTGGCGAAGTCCCTCCCCTTCCGGTGGACCTCCATGGGACCTTATTTCGGAAAAATTATGTATTGAAGTCAATGGAGAGAGAAAGATTATCTTTCGATCCCGTTTGAATTGTGCCACGAATTACACATATGATGTTTGTCAATTTAAAAGATAATTTTGCAAGTCAAAAAAAATAAAATGTGTCGTAAAACTGTGAAGTAACACATTTGTTTGTGTGAAACGCTCAATGAACTACATCTCTGGTGAACAACACACGTCACCAAGATGGCCGTCACTACTGTCTTGTCAACAAAACGATTGACTACCCTCACTATCACCACAATGAAACACGTCCTGAAGAATGTCATTCAAAGCTGCCTGCCTGCCTTCCTTTGATTCTCTCTGAACTGCCTGGTCGTTTTAATGTTTAATGTCAACCATTTGTGCAGATAGCATGAAGTAGAAAAGATCGCTAGCGTTAGCGTTAGCATTTCTCCCCCGGGCTTAAATTGTGTATTATAGAATGATCACACCGGTGACAGTACTCTTCAAAGGGTTCACGAAATATGACTACTACTCTTACTGTTTAACATTTTGGGTTACTTAATGTTACTTCATGTTAAGGCTAATAAAAATGACAAGGCTGTAATGCTAACTAATGTGCTAGCTACCAGCTAGGTAGCTAACTTGCTTAAGCCACTCCTGGTCCTTTCATCAGACGGGAAGCAAAAGAACGAGCAAGACCCATTGCTAGTATGATAACAACCTGGTACTAAGCACACAGGCATCTTGTTAAAGTTATCTTATCTTAGCCAGCGCCATATAGATAGATTATATCTATATGGCGTTATCTTATCGTAGCTATCTCTATTTTAGTGGAGGAAAACAATTGTGACATCACTTACGCGACTCTGGGATTTGTAGTCTTTCTAGTTGCGTATTTTTCATAGTCTTATATTTCAACAGTTTTATGACAAACTGTGACTTTTTTGACATGGAAATTATTTTTTAAGATTGACAAACATCATATGTGTAATTCATGGCACAATTCTAACGGGATCGAAAGATAAGTTTTCTCTCTCCATTGACTTCAATACATTATTTTTCCGAAATAAGGTCCCATGGACCGGAAGTAGATGGGCGTGACTTCGCCACTCTATTATTTCGCGACGCGATGTTTACAGTGAGAACAGCTGTGAGGTCCGTGCAGAAAGCAGAGCAGTGTGTATAATATATATCATATCACTCAGTATAACAGGCCTACTCTCTTTATTTGCTTTAGTTTAGTAGATATCTACAAACAAAGTCGATATTTTTCTAAAACCATTTAGTGCTTCACATAATAAAATACACAACGGCTGTAGCCTGATTATATGCTTTAGGAGCTGTAGGTGCGTGTGTGTGGTGTAGGTGTGTGTGGTACAGTGTGTGCGTAGATGCAGCGGACAGACAGGTCTCAGTTGGTTTGGTGTCCTCTGCTTACTTGTAATACTTGTAAATAAAACTTTTGGCCCGTCATTTATTTCCCTCATTGTAGCGACCAGAGAGGGGGGGGGGATATATCCAGTCTCTGATAGTGTTACGTTATTATGAGAGTGCTCTGTTTGATTCTGAAATTGTATATATTTATATAAATATATACGTGTGTGTGTGTGTGTGTGTGTGTGTGTGTGTGTGTGTGTGTGTGTGTGTGTGTGTGTGTGTGTGTGTATGTGTGTGTGTCTGTGTGTATGTCCGCATCTGTAGCCTGTTATTGTCTCATTATACCGCACTGTGAATGAATTAAAAGTAAATATATAAGTGGTCATGAACACATCTGTCCATCAGACAGAGGGCTGCTGTGCCTCCTGTCATCATTAATGGACGTCTCTTTAAAATGACCGCTCAGAGGAGAGGAGTTCTCATTTCTCTAACCGCCTGCTGCTTCCCCTCCTCTCTCCTCGGTTCCCCTCCTCGGCTCCTCCGCTCGCATCTCCTGTGGGCGGGACTAAGTCTCGAGGATAGGAGTCGAGTAGGGGAGTCGAGGAGGGACATTTGATGAAATGAGAACGGGCCCATGTAGCTGAATCAACAGCTCTTTATAATGCCCTGAGGAACCCCACATGTCATATTGGTCCACTCATACCCCTTTCACACCGGCGCTTTTCCAGCTCCTGCTGGGAGCTAGAGCCTGAAAAGCGCCGGTTTTTCCTGTTCACACCGCAGCGGCGGCGCGTCATAGCTCCGGAATGCGGTTCACTTCCAGCTCCAAAAAATTGTCGGTCCAGAGGCAAGAGCTTCGGAGCTATGACGCGGCGTCGCTTACGTCTCTTACGTCGAGGCGTGCAGGAAACCTTACTTTGACCATCCGTTCGCTGTTATTGATCATTGTGGAGATACATGGGCTATACAGGTTGTCATGTCCGACTATCAGAAGTAGAATCATAATGAAAAATACGCCGGTAAAATGTGCCTATAGAAAACGGCTTAGCAAGTAGTCAGTTTAGCTTCGGTTGCTATGCTAACATCACCCATGTTATACCAGAGAAACTTTCATAACAGCGTTGTGATGCCAAACAGCGTCAATTCAGACTGACACACATTCACTTAAGGGGAACTGGGGATATGTATCAGCTGCTTGTGTGACAGTCAGACAGTGAATACTTTAGAGCCGTGTGAGCTAACCCGGAGCTAACGGGAGAATAAACTCCCGTGGAAGAGCAGCCAGCACTGCAGCGGTCGCTAAATGCCGCTGAAACACATTAATAAACAATGAACCACGGCACTCTGGAGAAAAGTATAAGGTTGGAGAAGTCGTTATTTAATTTAAGCTGGCTTCGTATGATTAAAAGCAACACGATCATCGACCCGACGCAGTCCCCGGCCCGTTGTTGTTGTGGGAGAAAATCAGCGACGTAAACTGTGATGTCATGACGCAGCAGCGGCAGCTCTGGGCAGTGTGAACAGAGCGGGAGCTGAAAAGGGAAACGGGAGCTGAACCAGAAAAGCTCTCGCGAGGAGCTAGAAAGTGAAAAGCGCCGGTGTGAAAGCCGCATCAGATGTGTAGTTACCTATAGGAACTAAGTGTTTTCTGTCCTTTAAGTAGGATTCAACCTAATTTAGAACTGTTGCCGAAAGTCCAATCCAGTGTTCCAGTCGGTCTAGAAATATGTTGTGGAAAATAAACAGAAAACAGGAAAACACAGACAGAAGTTACGTCCTTAAAATATGTACTTAAGAGCAGAACCTGAGTAAATGTACTTAGTTACTTTCCAGCTCTGCTCTGTGTTTTCACCATGTCTCTGTTCCATGTTGACAGGAGCAGAATGATGAAGATGAAGATGAGGTGAACTATGAAAACGATGGAGGGGCTTCTGCCTCTGTGTGACTGATCAACAACATCAACTCCCCTCAGAGTCCATGCTGTCAAACATCACCTCCTCATATTCTACAGGAGAAAACAGGAGAACCATGAGATCATTGGAACATTTCTGATGACTGAGAACACCTGAGCCCCACGAGAGGCCCTTCAGAAACTCACCTCCATATGATAGGAAACATAGCTCATTATATTCATTCATTTCTGATTTAACATCCTTTAAAGGGGACCTATCATGCAAAATGCACTTTTGTACGTCTT